CCAAATAACAGAGGTATGAATAGAATTCACCTAAAATAAATTTCTCATTTGTTAAATGAACTTTTTTACCGATTGCGTATTAAGACATATCAACATCAAATTCTTTCTTTTTATATTTTCAGTAAATGATGTAACTCAAAAAGTGTAGCACATTTTCGACAGCTTCTCTGAAATATATAAAATGAGATTTTGTTCTTTATTTTGGTCAAGCAGTTATTTTATATTGTTACGTATTTTGTTTCAACAGATATATTATATTGCTCTCTAAAATAGAAAAAACTAACGAAAACTATAAATTAAGAAAATTATATAAAACTTGATGTATGGAGAAAGAAATGAATTTTTTATTCATAGCTTCAAATGAAATTGAATTATTTTTATTTGTATAAATTCTTTTAAAAAAATATATTAAGACAATAAATTTATAAAATATTTTAATAATATAATTAATATTAAAAAATAGAAAATATATTAAAGTTAAATGTAATTTCTATTAAAAATATTGACTTTTAGCTATTTATTTTAAATAAAATTTAAAATAGAATTGTTATTACATATAATCAACACAGAATGTTCGTTAACTTCATGGGGACGATGACAAGTATTTTTGGATTTGTTTTAACCGTGTTTTGGTTTTGAAAAGAGTAAATTACGGATTTGGTTCCTATGGTATACACTTTCTACTTATAGTGGTCTTAAAATCAAAGTAAATACATATATGTGACTCTATGTTGACATTTTCGTACTCATTGAGTCCCTCCCTCTAACGAAACCAAAAAGATTTTGTTAACCCAGTTAAATCCATGAGTTAAATTTCTTTAACCTTTTTGTCTTTATCTTACTTTAAAAAAATATTATCATACTTTTTTTTTTATTATACATCTATAGGTCGGAGTTTGAAGAAGAACCCTTGTGATTTACAAGAATGAAAGAATAGTCTATAAACTAAGCATTATGTTTTAAATCACAATTTAAGAGAAGTTAAGTGATTTTTTTTAAAAATGTAAGTTAGTTTTAAAAAATTTAAAGCTATTTAAGACGTGAAAGGGTAAAATTGGAATTTGAAATGATAACATTCAAATAACACGATCACGATTATTCCGATGATTAGAGAAGGGATAATCATTATCGACGATGTTTATCCAGTGATTGTAGGCCAGTATTGGGGTAAACCCGAAATAAAGAAGTCACATGTTTCAGAAGGTTTAGGGAAATAGAAAGCGGATTGGAGTTTCTTTTGACGTATTGAGTAAGAAAAGTGCAGAGCTATGTGATATAATGTTTGCTTATCATACTTTGATTAGGGCTCGATGATTGTTTGTCACAGATTAAGATTGCATCACATAATTGTCACATGAATATCGATTTGGGCTCCATGATTGTGTGTCACCCATTAAGGTTGCATCACGTATTTATCACACTTCGCTAGCACAATCGAGTAATCGAACAGGTCAACAGTCGAAGCACAGTCGAATCTATCGATAACACAGTCGAGTCGACACCCTATGTGTTTAATTAACATAATTTGTTCAAATAACACAGATTGATATCCTATGTGATACAATGTTTGTTTATCATATTTTTTTTATCACATATTTGTCACATGACTAATACATCCCTAAACGATGGTGATTCACACAATTATCACAATCGATAACAGAGTCGAGTAATCGAACAGTGGTATTTATAACAACTCGAGAAATTTATTCTATGTGTTCGATTAACAAAATTTATTGGAGTAATACATATTGATATCTTATGTGATGCAATGTTCACTTATCACATGTTTATCACAATTAGCACATCGGTTAGGGCTCGACGATTTGGTACCACCTAATTATCACACTTCGATGAGGATTGTTATCACAAGAATCACAGTCAGATTACCATATTGATCGGTTATCACATTAAGATGAATTTATGTGTATCACAAAATTATCACAGTTAACACATCTATTAGGAGCCAATGATTGTAAATGATTGTATGTGTATTACATTGCTATCATAGTTCACACTTTGAAGAAGGAATTTAAAACTGAGAAAATCACAATATGATCGAATATGAAAGTACAGTAAACGATCGAGACGTGAGACGTGATCAGATTCTAATCGAAAATCATGTGATAATTACAATTAATTAAAATAACATAAAAATATAAAATTAACTAATTACATTACCACCCTTAATGATTTATTTTTATTTACTATAATTTAAATTACTAGTTAAAAAAGTTGGAGGCCCACAACTGTTCTCGCATTCTTGTAAATCACAAAGATTCTCATTTGAACCATTCCTTATATCTACAATATAAGGAATTGGAGGTTCAGGAGAAGGGAAGGTTATTTAAGTAAGTCTTTAATTGAATTGGAGGGTATAATTGGAAAAAAAATATTATTTCCTTTATTTAAATTCTAATATTTTTGGAATCTCTCTCCCTTGTCTCTCTAATATGTTATTTCCTTTCCTTATCCCCCCTATCTCTCCAAGCGTCTCTCCCTCCCCGAGCGTGTGATAACTAGATATTGAATATTAAAGTTTGGGATGGTTTTAAAAGTTGATGATAAGTTAAGGGGTTTAATTTGTGTATGTGCTTAAGTGAATAAATATGTCTCACCGCCTCTTATGGTTTATGTTTGTTTACGTGAGATAATTATTTTATCTCATGGGAGAGTGTGAATTGTGATGATTATTTTGTGAGATAATTATTTTATCTCATGGGAGAATGTGAAATTATGATTTTAAAAATATTAAACCTCCACCGTCTGAATTGGTTCAATGTAAAAGTAATGGATAAGATTTATCTTATCTCATTGTTTTGGGAGAGAAAAGAGAAGAAAACTTTACTGTGTGTTATCTTGTGTGAATTTTATGTGAACCTGTAAGAGAAAGAAGAAGTTGATTTTGAGATTCTATTTGAAGTTGTTGCTGTGTGAATTCATTTTCGTATACGTGAAAATAAGGTGAATTTATGTTATCAACTTTCTTTATTTGGTATTTAAAATACTAAACCATATGGTTCTTATGTGGGAAGATGATAAAACTGTTTCTTGAAGCTGGTTAAGCTTGATGGTGAGTCTAGTATCAATAATGTTCCTTATATGAGTTTTGTTTTGAAACGGTTTTGATGTCATTTTTGGCAAAAAGATAGTTTTTTATCATGATTATATCTTGATGCGTTGTAATAAGGGTGTCATATCAAAGAGTTGCGTACATTGGTAAAGACCTTCCAGCCTAGTGGTAAAGGCTTGGGCATGACATAGTCATGAACCCAAGTAAGGGTAGCATAATCAGGAGTGTCGTACATTTGTAACAAGGGTGACATAATCAGGAGTGCCGTACATTTGGTAATAAAGGTGGCATAATCAGGAGTTGCATATATTGGTAATAAGGGTGGCATAATTATTTTTGGAAGTGATTATCTTTTTTATCGTGGGTTTTATTATCGCATCCTTATGATGTAATGACCTTAAGTTATTGTATCTGTGTTATGCGAGGACTTGGGTTGTCGCATCCTACTGATGTGATGAAAAGAATTGTTAAGGACCAGAAGGGCTCTAATGAGAGACCTAATGTAATGAGAAAATGACTTGTAACTGTGAAGCTATAAGGTATYATACCCTGAAGATTACAAAATAACAAAAAAATAAAAGTGACCAAGATGCAAGGGAAAAACTTTTGTTTAACATTTCCGGAAAGACCCCCTATTTGTTCGTTTACCAGGTTCAGCACGAAATCATAAATAAGCTCTACCAAGGATTTAATTGTGTTAACATTCTTTTTAATTCCGTTAGGGCATCTCCAATGGAGGTTAATGGGGAGGATCATGAATGCCATTACATGCATCATGCATTGTGAAGGGAGGATAATGAGAGTTGCATGGAACAGAGTTTCATGGCCATTGTACACATCATAGCTAAATCAATGGGACCCACTAATTTATTTTTTCTTTTATAATTAAATTTGTAAGGATTTAATTATGATATTATATATATATATATAT